ACAACCCAAAGATAACAATATTAATCTATATAATACCTCAACAACTATATATTTTATGAACGAATATGCATGCATATAGTAATGCGAAAAGTTTTAAAAGAAACAAAATTAACTGGTTCTTTGACTTGTTTTTGGCACCTTCACCATCCCAGCATTTACGTGCAAAGTGGTAATACTTCTGACAATTGTAACACTTTACTTTTTTCTTATCAAACTTTTATTCTTTATCATAATCATTAGAGGTGTTTTGCTGCTTCTTGTGATTTTTCTTATTCTTGAAAATATCACATGTTTTCTCATCTTGTTTGTTTTTTTCTTTTTGAATGTTATATTTTTTCTTTCCTTTTGAGATGTTGTCTGTTTCCCTTTGAATTGTTCTAACTTGAAGAGTCTGCTCTTGATTATACTTTCTCTCATTAATCCTAAACTCATGTGTTTCAAGAGAATATTTCAAAGTTTTCACCTCCATCTCCTCCAAGTCTTTTGTTTCTTAAATTGTCATTACAACATTATCAAATCTTTGTGGTAATGTTCTCAGAATCTTATTAATAACTTGTTGATCAGTGATTGTGTCTTTGCTAGCTCTCATTGCATTCACATGAACTTTATCAAAGTAATTAACAATGGTTTCATTCTGATCCATTATGAGAAACTCAAACTACCTCCTCAAGGTCTGCAACTTAACCTTATTTTTCTTGTCTCTATCTCCATAATCTTCAGCAAAATATCCCAAACACTCTTTTGCAGTTGCAACTTTGGAAATTTTGTTAAAAATCTTTGGTCTAACACATTACTAAATGAGAAATTTAGCCTTGTTGTCTAACTTTTGAAGATTCTTGAAGTGCTTATTGGCTTCTTCTGTAGCCTTGTCTTCAAGGCCACTTATTACCACATTCGCTACATCTTGAAACCCAAAGATAAATAACATCTTTATCTTCCAATTATGAAAGTTCTTTCCATCAAAACATTGGTAGTAAACCTTGAATGATACTCCCATTATCAGTCAACTTGGATTTGTAAATCCAAGAGTTTCACCAATCTTAATAACTTAAAGTCTTCTTCGGTGTTTTCAAGATTGTATACCACTGAGGAAAATAACCACAAACTTCACATATCGAGGCTCACCCAAATGCTGATAATAAAGATAAGAAAGTCTCACTTCATTTACAGAATAAACCTTGCTCTTGATACCATGTTAATTCTGATATAAGAGTACATTGATTTATTATACATAAATAAGAAAATAGAGAACATAGAAAAACAACCCAAAGATAACAATATTAATCTATGTAATACCTCAATAACTATATATTTTATGAACGAATATGCATGTATATAGTAATGCAGAGGAAATTTTTTAAAAGAAACAAAATTAGTTGATTCTTTGACTTGTTCTTGGCACCTTCACCATCCCAGCATTTACGTGCAAAGTGGTCATACTTCTGACAATTGTAATACTTTACCTTTTTCTTATCAATCTTTTATTCTTTATCATCATTATTAGAGGTGTTTTGCTGCTTCTTGTGATTTTTCTTATTCTTGAAAATATCACATGTTTTCTCATCCTGTTTGTTTTTTCTTTTTCAAATGTTTTATTTTTTCTTTCCTTTTGAGGTGTTATTTTTTTCCTTTGAATTATTCGAAGAGCCTACTCTTGATTATACTTTCTCTCATTAATCCTAAACTCATGCGTTTCAAGAGAATATTTCAAAGTTTCCACCTCCATCTCCTCCAAGTCTTTTTTTCTTAAATTGTCATTACAACATTATCAAATCTTTGTGGCAATGTTCTTAGAATCTTATTAATAACATGTTGATCAGTGATTGTGTCTCTACTAACTCTCTTTGCATTCACATGAACTTTATCAAAGTAATTAATAATGGTATCATTCTTATTCTAAGAAACTCAAACTATCTTAACCTTCTTTTTCTTGTCTTCATCTCCATAATCTTCAGCAAAATATCCCAAACATTCTTTTGCAGTTGCAACTTTGGAAATTTTGTTTAAGATCTTTGGTCCAACACATTACTAAATGAGAAATCTAGCCTTGTTGTCTAATTTTTGAAGATTCTTGAAGTGCTTATTGACTTTTTCTGTAGCCTTGTCTTTAGGTCTTCAAGCCCACTTATCACCACATCCGCTATATCTTGAAACCCAAAGACAAATAACATCTTTATCTTCCAATTATGAAAGTCCTTTCCATTAAAACATCGGTAGTGCACCTTGAATGATACTCTCATTATCAGTCATCTTGAATTTGTAAATTCAAGAGCTTCACCAATCTTAATAACTTAAACTCTTCTTTGTTTTGTTCAAGATTGTACACCACTGAGGAAAATAGCCACAAACTTCACATATCGAGGTTCACCCAAATGTTGATAACAAAGATAAAAAAATTTCACTTCATTCACAGGATAAACTTTGCTCTTGATATCATGTTAATTCCGATGTAACAATACATTGATTTATTATACATAAACAAGAAAATAGAAAACATAGAAAAACAACCCAAAGATAGCAATATTAATCTATGCAATACCTCAACAACTATATATTTTATAAACGAATATGCACGTATACAATAATGCATAGAAATTAAAAAAAAAAACAAAATTAACTAACTTTTTAACTTTACTATTCACTAACAAAGATGACGTATCATACAAGTTAAAAAAATAGAAACTTAATACCAATTGGATCAATCATCAAACTGATAAAAATATGAGTTTAAGACTTAAAGGTTTAGTGTTCAACTAAATTTAATAAAATAATATTTTTATAATATAATAAATTTATTAGTAATAATATATTTTTATAAAAAATAATAATAATAATTATCGGTTACAATGAAAGTTATAAACATAAAAATATATTAAAGGGTGAAAAATTGATAGTTTTTAAAATAAGATAAAAATATAATAAAATAACTTAAAGTTGACCTAAATAGTATAAAAAAAATAAAATATATTATATTTTTTATAAAAAAATTTGATCATAAATTTTTAATTTATCAAAATTAATTTAACTTAAAAATTTAATTTTTTTAATTTTACCAATTTTTTATCTGATTTAATTAAAATTTTATTATTTATAAACAATTAATCAATTTTTAATCCAATTTCTGATTCGAAAATCATATAGCATGATTAAAAAAAATAATTATTACTCATTGGGTTCTACAAGTAAAAAAACACTTTCTAAAATAGAAAATAAATATTTTTTATTTGATATTTAAAACCAAAATCAACAGAATGATGTAAGAATAAAAAGTCATAATTAATTTAAAAAAATATGTGAAAAACTGAAATTTCATTTTATATACACGAACAAAATGTAGAAATGTGCTTAAATCATAAATATTTATTTTATTTTATTTATACTCTAACCAAGTACAAAATAATTTCTCAAGTAGATCTAAAACTTTAATAAGTATCTTAAATTAAAAACATAAGTTTTATAATAAACTCTTGCCAATGTGGTATAATAAAGGTCTTAAAATTGAAACTTTAGTAATATAAAAGATCAACAACATACACTTAGACCACAATCTAACGGGCGAAATTAATGTCCAACTATAACATTGAGAATATTCAAGAATCAAAATGAGAAAAAATAAATAAATAAATATATATATATATATATATATATATATATATATTTTTTTTTAATTTACGTGTCATATTTAATGATATTCAGTTGTAATTTTATACTTCGTTTATATTATTATAATCACATTAAATTGATATTTAATTAAAATAATTAAATTAATTTTTATAATTATAAAAAAATAGAAAAAAATTAAGAATATATATTAAAAAATGTATGATATTGTGAGATCCAGTTAAAATAAAACAACATTTTATTAGATGTTTGTATGAGAGATGCTTTTAATTGAAATTATTAATATGTTATGGCTATTATATATCATATCAACAACTATCTTTATAATCATACAAGTTTATTAAAAAATCAAATATCACTTTCTTCAAAATATAAAAATATATATATATATATATATATATATATATATATATATATATATTTTGTATTCTTAATTAGAAAATAAAATTTGAATGAAAAATACAATTAATTATTATATTTACTTATTTTCAATCTTTTAAAATTATTATGTTTTTATGTATAGTTAATAATAAATGTAATTAATAGAAATATTAAAATTTTATTACATTTTCACTTCTTCTTCTTCTTTTTTCTTTTTCGAAAAAATATATTCATTCTCAGTTAGAAACAGTAGAATAATGTATGCCTTAATAACACACATTCATTTTTATTATAATTTTATATTTTATTTATTAGGAGCGATGGGTATTTTTTTTAGTTTATTTTTCTTTGAAAATATACTTTTTAACTTCTCTAAATTTAATTTTAAATTTTATTTGTGAGGTATATATTTTAATATGATTTTAACTATTTTTATTTTAAGCCACGTTTTATACATAATTTTTTTATTAATTAATTATGTGGATCTATTTTTATATTGTAAATACATTATAAAACATAACATAAGAAAGAAAGAATAAGAAAAGAAAAGAAAAGAGTATTTCACCCTTTTCATATCAAACAATCTTAATATTCTTATTTTCCTCTAACATGTACATTCCACTCATTATTCCCATAATTTTCTAAAAAAATTGTTCTAATAATCTAAAATTATATATTTTTCATTTGCCTATCTCCTTATATATCTATTTTCTTTTATTCATATCTAAATTAAATTTCAATAAATTTCACAATTTATCAAGAGTTAAAAATAACTTCTTATTATAATTGAAATTATCTATCATAAATATAAAAAGTATTGTTTATATATACATTTAAATATATTTATTTCTTATAAATTAAAATGATATATAAATAGACATTTATCTATGCTGAAGGTCCGTATATAATTAACGGATATTTAGTAGTAAGATATTACATTAGAATGTTATAATATTATTAATAAAATAACACCTCAGAAAATGTGTAGGGGATGTAGCTCAGATGGTAGAGCGCTCGCTTAGCATGCGAGAGGTACGGGGATCGATACCCCGCATCTCCACTCTTCTTCTCCATTTTAAACAAACTGATTTGCGGAGCACAACCTATCCAGAGAAGGTTAATCCAAAAAAATGCGTTGGAAGAAGACTTTGGAAACAAAGTACACAGTTCTTTTGTCTAGAAAATAATCACATTAATCTTATGACAAAATAAATGAAACGTTGATGTAAAACATAAACGTTACTTATTACGCACCAACAGTGAAAGACTTGCGATAACATTTGACATCATTTATACTATCGTTCCCACAACCATCTACGTAATAAAGAACATTAGTGTGTTCATGAATTAAACTTTGTATTGTACGTATGCTAAGGGACATTAAATCTTTGGAACAAATGAACTTTCGCTTTAAGAAACTATTTATTAAGACAATTGCACTTGTATCTCAAAGTACACAAAAAATAACATTTATACAAAATTCAAATTTACAGTTTGGATCAATAAATCCCAAAAATCTACTAGTAAAAGAGTTAGTCAATTAATCCTGGTATGTGAACACACTGCGCCCTACAAGTCTTACAATATATACAACTAATATTGTTCACTCTTATGAGCCTTGTTGATCTCATAGGTAGAGAGACAATCTAATTCTGGTTCTGTGGAGATAATTTGCAAGCATTTTGTCATGGCTTTATCAATTAACATCCTTGTCACTTGAAAAAGGCTGGTATGAATAGTTGAATGAGTCAATAATTTACTGCAAAATATAGGAAATTAGAAACAGTCCAAAGCAACTTGTTTACTAGAAAACTAGAGACTAAAACTCAACATAAAGTATTGAAACACAATAAATATTATGTTTTATTCGAGTTCTCTTAATGCCCATTTGAGCAAATTTAGCGAATTCAAAATCTTCCTTAAACTAAGAAGTATGAATCAATGAAACATTGAAGGATTGCTTCTTACCCTATGGTAGCCGTTCTCATTATACATGGCAATACCACAAGACCCTGAAGCAGAATTCAAAAATTGATGTCCATTATCAAATAGTGAACTGGAAAGATCAAAGTTGTTAACTTGGTAATCCGCAGTGTTTGATTTATTGTTCATTGTTGGGAAATGTTTCACTTCCTCAATATCTTGTGGAGGAGGGAACGCAAACTGGTCACAACATTGTACATTTAGGTATGAAGTTCCACTTAACTCATTCATTGCACCCCCTCCTTGACCCAATGTTGTCACTTGGGGAGAGCTCCCAACTTCAAGTTTGTTGCTCCCAATATAACTAGAATAGCTTGGAAGTGAAATGTCAGTGGGACACTCAGCGTCTCTATTGGTATTATCACTGTATGTTATACAATTGAATCAATAACTAAATTGAAAGATGAACCACAAGGCAATATAAGTCAATCTTAGAAAGAAAATTTGATAAATCATTAGTTTAATCAAACATATTAATTGGATGACATAGTTACTAGCTCGTTATATATATTCATGGACAGAATCCAGTTCCATACTTAAACTAACACAAGTAGCGGAAAGCCATAGAAAGCTAGCCTCATACTAAAGTTAACTCACCTAAATGGTAGAAATTTTGGTTCATTTGGTAACAACAATTGATGATTATCATTATTCAAAAGCCAAGACAGGGGTTGGGATTCTTGCAGACTTGCCATCATCAAGGGTAATGTCATCCCTTCCTGTAACTATGAAGCAACAGTATACCGAATAAATAAAAGAAGAACAAGTGATATAAGTAAAGAGAGAAAATATAACATTTACTACCTGGTTAGAACATGTAAGCGAAATGAGTTGTTGCTTTCCTAAATTTTCCTGTCAATTTAAGAAAGCATGTTGACATGTTAAAATACAAATCTAATATTTCAAACAGTTGTTTATGGATTGGTGTATAGGCCATTTGAAGATGACAGAGCAATATGGCTAATCTACATGAAACAAAAGTCTTACCTTCTGCACGTTCACTCGATGGATTGATTCCCGTAATGAGTCTTCAATTTGCTTAAGATGCTCTAAATTATTGATCTTCTCTAGATTATTCCAATAACTAAAAATTACAAATGTAAACACAATATTACTTTATGATGACTACTTAAACTTTCATGACCCATAACTCATGTATGACAAATCAATTTATATAGTATTATGACCGTGTTCTGTTACCAGAGGAAAAATCAAGCAGAAGTTCGATGAATTTGAAGCACATGAGTTGTTCATATCTATATAAGTTCAACTACTACTATTTCTACAACCATGAAAATCTAAATAATTATGAAAGGTCAACTAGTATAATGGTTACACTTCTCTAACCTAAACAAAGTATAAGCTATGAAAAAAGTTAAGGTGTTGTGTTTCATATTCACAACTGGTAGAATATGTCATACAAATGTGGAATTTGATTGAATTTTTGTTACCCTTAGCAAAAACATAAATGATGCATAACATAAAAAATGGTATTAACTACTATTCCTTTAGGTTTAGGGAAGGGGATAATAATATTTTGTATTATAATTTTTTCTCTTTCATCTGTCAATGTTATAATAAATCATTTTATATATTGAAAACCCAAAATATAAAATAGATTAAAACATATCAAAAGTTATAACATCATCCAAAATAATTTTGACATGTGAACATGAGTATGGGCATAAAGGAATATGTCAACGTTCAAAAAAAATACACAAGAAAATGATATATATTCATGTCAGATAAGGGATAGAAACAACCTATTGATTGCAAAACACTAAACCTGAAGAGGTCAAACGAATAATATTTCAACAAGAGAGCTAATAAAACCAAAAAGAAAAAGAAATACTTTAACAACCAAAAGCTCCAAAGTTGCACCTCAGTCTCTGATGTACTTCTGTGATCTGAGCTTGTAACACCCTCACTTGATGAGATAATTCCTACACACGGATCATAACATTTTGGTAGCTCAACTACTAACTTAAGATTATGACATTATTATTAAGCATAGTGTTGTCTATGAAGAAATTATACCTCCATTGTTTGACTGCTGCAAGGTAGGAAAGGAAAAATTTAGAAACTTTAAAAGCCTTATGTAAATAAATTGCCAAATTGACAATCACAATAACTTGCCTTGACCCTAAGAAATCCTGTATTTTTACGTCATGGTCCAATTTCTTGAAGGTTTTCTTTAGCACCTAAATTTAAATCCAGATCAGAACTCTAAACATCACAAAATGTTGAGACAACACAAAAGATGTATTTGACACAACAAAAACAATAAATGTATAAGACATTACTGAGAAAAACAGTAATCTTACTTCAAGGCTCTCCATTTTTCTGCTCAATAAAACAAGAAAATACATCAACTTGCTTATCACTAGCAAATGAAAAATAAGAAATCATTAAACTATAAAAAAAAAAAAAAAAGGTTTGACGAACCTTTTGGCCCTTTCTTGTGGGCTAAGTTGAGCAAATTTTGCAACAACCTCCTCAATATTACTGAAAATAATAATCAATATTCAAAATTATATGCTGGGATTTATTGTTTTACATTTAAAGTCCTCAATAACACGCATTTTTCATTAATAAATATTCAATGAATCTAGTCTCTTTCCCCTTGTGAAAAAATTAACATAGTTATTTGAACTTCTAACTTTGTTTCTAACTTGAAATAAAACAAATTATAAACTTGAACAATAAGGGCGTTAAGAAAAGAAACGCTAGTTAATAACAGTATGTTATGTCTTTTTACACCATTTAGAATATTAAGCGTACTAGTTCAATATGTTGAACTCAAATCTTAGTATAATTAGACTTTTGTTGTTATTATATTGTATTGCATCTACATTTGTAGTTATTTTTATTTATTTTTTAAGTTAAAGATTGCCTAGGTCCTAGTTATACTTGAAACACCAACAAGCTAGGGTTTGTGATCCACCAAATAGATTACGAGTCATTTATTTACAAGTAACCACGAAACCAACCAATCTAATAGTCCTAAGTAGATAACATACATAAAGATAGATGTTACAAAACTATAAAAAGTAACTTGCAGATCAACAAACTCATGTTTTGTAACCACAGAGTATTAAGAAAATATCAATTAAGGTTCAATATAGTGATCTAGGCATAAACTATTTCAAGAAATTGCATGACTTACAGACAATTTCAATTTAACAAGACCTCGGGAGCTAATGGAAAGAATTCCAATCATAATGAGAAAAGTCGGACTCTAGTTTTTTTTATCCATTAAACAATTACAGTTCGAACAATACATACTTCTTGATTCCAAATTTCCCTTGTGAAACTAATCTCTTATTCAAGATCCACCCAATCAAACAATATATAGCAACTTTTTATTGATTAAATTGCATTCCCTAGTTACGAGGCATATATAAATACATCCTCCTAGAAGATTATTTGCTTTGCACCAACAACAAATACTGTGTTTGTTTGAAACAATAAAAGTTTACTACGCAACATACTTTTAAAATAGGGTGTTATATGTCGTAAGGCGTTTGTTATAGCAAGCATGGGTGTTACCTCATAGAAAGACACGCATATGACAACAAGGATTTTGGTTTGTTCTTTCTATTCAGGAATAAATGTTCAACCTCACTTGCAAAAATTTCATTCAGCCATTCTCAACACCAAAAAAAAAATGCTTTATCATTGTTGTTACCTGCGCTCTCCTTGTAATAATGTAGGCTTTCCTGTAGGAGAAAACATGAGAAGGAGAATATCTATATCGCACAGTATTGATAATTCCTTTGCTTTCTTTAAAATTCCACTTTTACGTTTTGAATAAGTCACATGTCGATTGTTTATGCTCTCTAATTTCTTTATCTTCAATTTAACCCTTCCCATCCTGCAAATTTAGGATTAAGAGTAAACACATTTAGCCCTATATATCCTTGCCCCAAATATTTCCACAAACAATTGAAAAGAGATTCATATTAAAATACCCCATCTGGTAAAAAAGGTTTTCCAAGCCATTACAAAAGAAAGCAGGTTCAAGGACGCAACAAACAAACAAAAACGAGCCAAAATATGGAATGAAAGAATTAAATTTGAACACCAAGGGGAAATGGTATATTTTAAGGGAAAACCAAATTGTGATAAAGTAAAAAAACAAACCTTATTGAGATAGTGAAGACAACGTGGAGGAAAAGAATCGAGGGAAATGTTGAAAAAAAAGGGTGAAGGTGTGAGGTAACTAAAGAACTACAGCAATATTTGTTTAAGGGAGATGGCGAGTAGAGAGAAAGAAGGAAATCTGGATATGATATCTAAGAGCTAACAAGTTGTTGCAAGATGAAAGGTTTAGCTGTGATTTCGGTGGGTAGAGTTTGAGAAACCAACCAAGCTAATAACATGGAAATGGACGGTGTGATTTGGAAGACCCCAATTGTTGGCAGCGTATGCAACAAACACCTTCTCTACCAACAAAACCAACACACTTTCCTCTTCTCTCTTCAACCTTTATGTTTGCCACGTCTTCCTCCCTATGCAGATCCAAAATAGCACACGTTTTGAAACAAACTCACATGTTTGTTTCTCTCTTTATTTTTTCCTATTTCCTCAGTTTTTAAGTTTCTTCCAAGTTTTTTAAAATCTCTTCTAAGGTACTATTTCCTAACTATAGTAATAATTTTTCTCTTTCATGATAAAATAATTATGAAAATTTTATTTATTTCTTTTTTTTTCACTACTTAACAATTGCATTAAATTGTTTCTCATATTTATAATTTTATGATAAAATGTATGCACTCATTAAAATTTCAAACAAAAATATAAGTATAATTGAAAACAATTATTATCTTGAAATTCGAAAACAGTGAATAAATAGTGTTTTATTTTTTCAATAAATCAAGACTTAATAGAGGAACATGGGAAATAACGTTTCAGAAAAATATATGTGCACCAAATTTAAATTATCATAAAAAGATAATTTTTGTGTGTGTGTAGAATACACAAAAATAGTTTATTATATAATTAAATATTTCTTTTGAAGTTAATTTCATAATTACAGATATCTAGTTTATTTAAGTTATGATGTACATAATCTTAAATTAATATTAAAATGCACAACAACTAAATTAATAAAACATAATACGATCAAAGTTATTAAATTAAACAACTTAAAAATAAAATTACTTTATGTATATGTATTTATATATATATATATATATATATATATATGTGTGTGTGTGTGTGTGTGTGTATATATAAATTATTTAAAAAAAAAAAACTAAAAATATGCCTATGAATTATAAAATTTGAGAGTGGATAAGGAAGAAGGGACGAGAGAAATGAGGGGTAGTTTTGCTACTGGTTCGAGTAACAGAGAAGAACGAAGACGAAGGGCGAGGTCCTCGTCACCACTGAAGGACCGATCCAAAACCTCTTCGTCCAAGTTATCTTCTTCATCATCATCACCGTCCAAACAAAGCACATCACCCTCTGCCACTCTCCTCGGCGTCGACGATGACGTCACCTCTCTCTTTCACGATTATCCTAACCCTAACCCTCGGAGCTTCCCTCAAAGCGTTAAGCAGAAATGCTGGGAAAAGGCTGACAAAGTCAAAGGACGAGACCCCGACCGCTGGCGCAGGGACGCTCTTGGTAACACTGTCTTTCGCAAGCTCGTAGGTTGTCCCGGTTGTCTCTGTCATGACTACGACCACATTGTTCCTTACTCTAAGGTCATACCTTTATTTCCAATTTTCAATTTAATTTGTATTGTCTTTCGTCTCAATAATTTGATTCTTTGAATTGCTGTATGTCGTAAGAGAAGAACCTACTCTGCACCTTTTTATGCATTACATGATTTATATATTTTATATCCCAACATTGGTGAAGGAAAAGCAACTTCAAAGGAAATTACTTTCGCTGGTTGTCCTTGCTGAGGCTTTGCTGCGTTTCTAGACTTGAATTTTCTGTAAATATCACTAGATTTTAACTAGTGACATGATGGGGTTTATTTGATCCTCCAAGCATCAGGGTATCGTTGAGTTACTAACACATTTTGTTTTTAATTTTCATTTGTGTTTTGTGAAACTACAGGGGGGAGAAAGCACACTGGAAAACTGTCAACTATTGCAGGTAAGATTTCTCATTTGTTTCTCCATTTCTTTGTTTCCTTTGAAGGGAGAACCTGGCCAGAGGCTTTGAAGGAGCCTTTAAATATGTTTTTTTTTTTAAATGTGTTAATGTGATTTTTATTTTTTTTTAATTTAACATATTTCTACTGATCGTTACCTGTTACATTGCAATGATGCTGGTAAACTTGATATAACTATAAACATTTATTTTTACGCTACTGCGTAAATAATTATCCATGTTTCTTTGTGTAATGGATTTTCCTTTGCTAAAAATGAAGTTATCTATCATAAAAGAACCATTTTTTAGTGTAGTGCCAAAATATTTTCTTAAGATATTTAGGGAAATTCAACTAGTCTGGTACTTTACCAGAGCCAGTGTAGAGAGGGTGATACTGGCTTGTCAATATGGCTATCAAACATGGTTCTCAAAAAAGTGACTCCTTTGCTCTATCTAATACAAGCATTTTGGAATACTCCAATTTGATATTTCTTTCTGTTTCTTCCATTACACTCTGTATGCTTTTCAAACTTTCTAGTTTCTAATGACTAGTCCGACTATGGTTGCCATTAATTGTATTAGGTGTTTATATAATTTCCCTCTTCCAATTGGTTTGTTCATGGTGGAGTATTAGTTTTTCTAGTACACCCCCATTACAATATGCTTTATTTGAAATGGTAAAATGAAAAATCGCCTAATTGATCTGATTTCATTCATTTAATAAAGTTTCTATCCATGGCTTTCAGGCAACAGTTAATCGTTCAAAGGGTAATCGAACAGATATCTCTAAAGCTGAACTTATTCAGAAGAGTTCTTATTGCAGGGTTTCAGGTACAACTATAATGATTATATTTACTATAGTAGTATTTGGAAATTTATTAACTACAAAGATTATATTAACTAGGGTACTGGATGCATTGCAGATCGTGATATGGATCTTATTGAACTGTCTGCCTACGGCAATGTCCGGCGTGGACCAGATTCTGGGGGATGTAGAATTCAATGAACATTTATCTCCATATTAATACATTATGTGATTGATTCCTAGATGGGTTTAAATGATGACCTTGTAGCTATTCATGCTCACAAAATCTCGAGCACATAACGTGGTCAGGTTATGATCTGTCTCCTTGGGAGGGAACACAACCCTCAAGGTCCGAATGCATAGCACAAGGAGGAGGCTCAAGAATGAATTGTCCCATGAAGAATTTTCTTCGACTTTCCTCTATCCTATCATAGGTTGGATTATGCCTTCGATAGGGTGAAAAAAATGGCACTTATGTGTCAAACCTTCACATCGCTTGTTATAGACTTTTACAAGTTTACAAAATTCACAATAGCGACAAGGGAAATACATTTTTTTCAATTCCAATATTGAATCCCAAGAGACTAGTACAATTCTCAAGTTATAAATTGTTTGTTTACTTGTATCTGGATAATGTAATATTTTTTAAATAAAATTAAAACAAATACTAAAAGATGAAAACAAAACAAAAGATATGTGATAAGAGATATCAAAGAGGCAAATATCAATAAATCATACTTTAAATTGAAAATTTTGTTGAACAATTGACAAACATATTGAAAAGATGTGACGCAATGAAACTACAATACGAGTATGTTGGGGTTAGATTGTACAAAGCCATCGCTAATGTAAATTAATTAAAAATGAATTTGATTTGGTAAATTTCAATAGTATGATCAATTTAAATTATTCAAATCTTAACCCTATTCCTATAAGAAAGTGAATTTAAATTAATTGATTATAATCTCAATCTCTTGCAACACCTTAAATGCAATACGGCTCACAGGTATTTTCAGCTGGGTCTCACAATCTTGTGTTATACAGAATTGGTAAAAGTTTCATGGGAATTGTCAAAATGTTTCGCAAAAGTTAAATATATAAAATAGGTGCTACTACTATCCAACCCATGTATTACAAATATTAATAATATATTGTTTGCCACGTTCTTTTAAATATTTGTATTGATTTAATTCTTCTGAAAAGCATAGAAAAAAATGTAAAGCACTCATTTAGTACTTAATAGGGCCATAAAAAGAAATCCTGAAAACATAGGTATTTTAAGATTTATTTTTAGTTACGTAAAGGAACGATTCTTAACCAGAAAAAGAAAAAGAGGTAAGAATTTCATGATAATTTTGGAAATTTTGTTGAGAATATGTAAATAGAAATTTTCACTTTTCAAAAAACTAGGAAATGGTTGTAAGTAATGGTTAGAAAGATTGGTAAATTACCTTCTACCCTTTTGTTCTCTAATCTAAACGCATGCGTATACTTTCTTTTGAAAGCTGTTTATCTCTAAGGTATAATGATAAATAAATAAAAAATGATTTTCTTCCCCTAGAAAAAACTCTATTTTACTTTTTGTCTCCTTTTCTTTCAATCAAATATTATTTGAAATTTTTAAAAAATTAAAAAATACATTTAATTAAAATTTCTCTTCTTTATTCTTTTCATTTCACTCAATTTTACTTTATTATTTTTAACAAAAAATTTAAAATTTAAAGTATATTCAAAGAATCTTGAAAAATGAAAACTTTCAGAGGCAAATCTAATAAATTTTATTTGTGAAATTAAAAATAGAAAATAATTATGAAAAATACATGAACTGAAAAGCCATAGATCCAAATGCATAAGCATGGCTAGAAATGGGCAAGGAAGAAGAAAGTGGATTAAATGTGTTTGGTTGGGTTAATGATTGAAATTTGGCAAGTGGGAAGAAATGGAGGAAAAGAAAAGAGGGATTGCTTTCTTGGTGTTGCGGAGGGAAAGGGCAAAAGGGAATTAAAAAGAGAAAAAGTCAAGAAAGTTGGGTGCCAATAAGAAAAGGAACTGAGCTCAAGGTTTCATGTTTTAGCGTTGGGTAGGGCAGGGTTGGGTCTCATCACCTCACAACACAACTCATCTTCTATTGGATTCAACCTTCAAAATATCTCCATCTTTTATTGTGCCTCCTTCGTCAACCACACAATTTATTACAAAAAAGATTATTACTTTTTTTCAAATTTATGAAAAACTTAAAAAACAATTATTTCTTGAAACAATCTCTTTCAAAAAAAGAAAAAAAAAAGCCATCACATTCAAGTTTATCTGAAAAAGAAACATAACCACCTTCCATAACCACGTAACCAGGCTTTCCACTTGCAGGACCAAACATACAGTGATAAACAAGGATCAAGATCATTTCATCTTATAACAATATCAATTATTATGTGTAATTTTATTTATTTTTTAGCATGATATTATCCTATCAATTATCTAAATCCATAATATATTACTTCTCCTGCACACCAAAAGCATGCTGATTAAGAATGTGACAAGACAGTTAAGTACCATCGTATTGCTTATGCTTATGTTCCTAGTTCTGTAATTTTTTATCCACGATTTATGGATAGGGAATATCTGTCTATGTTCGTTGAGACAGAGGGAGAGAGGGAATACCCAGAAAATTATTAACTTTTCTACTGAGTGCCGAAACATGTACAATATCTGGATTTTTATACATGGTGAAAGATGTTTTCCATCTCTGGGCTAAATAGTAGTATTCCACATATATTTTTATACAAACTCATCAAACTAACCACACAAAAAGAACCTATATATTATATTCATAATGTCAAATTAAGATAAAGACAAAATTAGTCCTCGTCGTCGTCCGTCCACTTCTGTATGGTGAGGAAATCAGAGACTACCACCCTTTCGGTTCTTCTATACAAGGTCTACGAAGCAAGTCAATAGCCCTTCGCTCAAAGATGGTCACCGTCTCTTGCTGGATTGACAAGAAGTGACTAACCTTGCTATAAGGACTTTCAACAGGTGCTACTAATTCATGAGTTCTCATGAAAATTGAGGGATCTAGATAAAGCTGCAGGGTTAGCCATCAAGACTGGAGAGGCTTCAACACGGTTCTTTTCGTTCTTCTTTGATTGGAAGGCCTTAAACATACCTCCCCCACTCACCGACTCATTCTTAATACCTAGAGTTGCCCATATAGAACTCTTTGCAGCTTCACTTGGATCATCAATTCTCAACGTTTTTGGAACCAAAACACGTCCGTTTCTTGGCTTTGAAGCTTCTTCTTTGGGCAAAGAGTCTTGCTTAATCATGTCCCCATCCCGCGAGTGCTTCCCCAAAGTCGGAGAGTTTGGGTTTGAAGCAGATGAAAGTGACGAAAACCATGGAACATTCCAATTCCCTGGCATGCCACAGTTCCATAATGCAGGAGGAGGATAGAATGGTAAGGGAAATCCTGAAGGACACAAAGCAGGTGGGGGAACTGGAGAATTCCATGTATAGGGCCAAGGAACACACGGAAGTTGAGGAAGGAAACCATGATTTTGGAGCACCGGTTGTGGTTGGAAGGTGCTTTTGCTAATTTCTCCCATGGAATTTGAAACTGTAATGGAAGATGTAGTTGAAGAGTCATCCCCATTTTCCCCACTTTTGCGAGGAATAGGAAGTCTTTGATCCTCAAAGCCAGGATGAACCCCATTTTTGGTGCCATTAGGAACCTTTTTCTCTCCTAGATTGAGTACAGATGCCATGGAATCACAAATTGGTGCATGTGCATCTAATCCAAAACTCAGAACTCTACCATTGTCTTTCAAAGTTGGAAGATGAGTTCCATTAGGAGAATCAATTCTGGCAGCTTGAAGGGCCTCAGAGATACTGATGTGGCGATAATGCGAGGCAGAGTTCTTGTTCTTTCGCCGTCCTGCCCCCACGGGAACATTTCTCATGGTGCCACCTGCAGTCCAGTATCTTTGACAAGCTTTGCAGAAATAACGTGGCTGGTTGACATTGTAGTTGTTGTAGTAACAAAATTTAGTATCCATACTTTTGCAGCGGGGGCACGGTAGCACTTTATCAGGTTTCTTCAGAGTTTTCTCCTCTGAATTGGCTGCATCGCCTTGCTCCTTCTCTGATTTGTCAGCTTTTGATTTTGCGGTGTCTTCTTCTATGGAGGGTGTTTTGGGGTTCACAATAGCCTCAGGGGATGTACCCGAATCTTTAGTCTCCCCAGCACTTGGAGGAGGATCAGCTTCTCGCTCTTCCTCAGTAAAATCTTCAACAACAGCATCCTAGTAATTTGAAAATATATTTTGCTCGTCAAAATGAATGCTGCTGAATTGCATAACAAAACCAATATACTTATATTTATATATATTTTTAATTGAAATGACAATCATAGCACGAAGAACATACGCAAGATCAATGAAAATCCCACTTGAACCATTCTTACGATACTCCACAGTACAAAGTACCCTTTTCTTTAAGACACATTCCGGAATATAATACAACAATTCGTAACTCAAGGAACTACAACGTTAATTTAGTTGAGCCGGGAGCTGAATATTCCAAGCAATAAAACTTTCAATTTTGCGTGGCTAATAAAGGTACAGCAAGAAGAAAAAAAATAAGAACCTTGAAGCCACATAGCGGATTACTAACACAGATTTGGGTGGTAGTTGGATTGCGCCGACAGAAAACACTGGTCTTAAGCAGGACCATGAAGTATACATATACATAGAATTGAAACAATAAAACAAGTCGATGTGAAAAAGAAACAGTGATGTTCCTGTTCCACGGACAGAGTTGACTGAAATTGTTCGGTAGATTGTTCTGATCACCACACAAACATCAAAATGTTCCACAAAAACAACGTAACAAAACTAATCATAATCAGCAAAATCCGTACACGATAAAAGTTTGCTGTCCATCTATGAACGGCTTTGAAACAAATTTCACTTCAATTCCTTGGCAAGGTCACAAAACCTATTATTTTGTCCAGGAAAATAGCCAGTTTTGGAATTGTAAATAATAAAAAAAAAACGGATTTTTCTTTCAAAATTCCACCAATTAATTTCCAAAAACATTGAAACTGGCCATAAATCTCGCAATTGGGAATATTCATTAAATCAATTCCCAATTGGAATTGACAAAAATTAACAGAAGGATCCAATTTTTTCATTGAAAAAACAACAGGAGAAGCAAAAATTCAGGTAGAAAAGAAGAAAAATTTAAAAAAACCAGAGGAGTAGGGAGGTAGGTTTGTTGTGATGTGTGCAAATGAAGAGACAAAATCGACCCATGAGTGGTTTTAGCATTAGAAGGAAAGGGAATTGTGTGTACGTTACAAAAAACCTTGCTTTGGTTCTAAAAAACAATTTTGTGAGACACTAGAACGGGAACCGTACCTTGTCTCCTTGGTCTTTATCCTCTTCTATCTCTTGCTCTGTTCCATGAGCACCCTCGTCGTCTTGTTCTATGTCAACATCTTCAGGGAAGGGGATCTTCTGGCCGAAGAGCCTAATTGCAGGATCTCTATTTTCGTACATTCTGAGGGGAGATTGAAACGTGGGAGATGGCAGAGAGTGGGTTACTTAGTTTGGGGTGTGATTGAATGTGTTGTGTTGGGAAGTGTCAGTGGAGGCACGACGAATAGGATTTTGATCCCATTAAACCAGAGTGAGGTGCCACGTCAGAACTAGGTTTGGATTCTCAGCCACAAGTTCTTGTGGCCTCTGTTAGATTTTCTTTTAAGCCTGTTCGATTCTCGGTAGCACGCTCGTTGCGTGCACCCTCTCTTTTCCCATGTCACCACTTTTTGCCTCAAAAATCTCCATGACGTGGCGTCCCGTGATTGGAGGCAGCCTTGCCAAATGGACCCACGCCTTTCCTTCTTTCTTTTCTTTAAATCTATGAAAATATTTCTCGATAAAAGTATAAAAACTCACCCACACATTTTATTTTCGAAGATGGTATGGTTTGAAATGTGTGGATTTTTCATTTGAGAACTTTTCGTCAACTTGCCTAAAACTGAGAAAGAGAAAAAAGATAGATTATGAAAAGATGGAAACAGTGAAAAGAAGTTCCTTTGGTGTCTCTTCTCTTTTTCTTTGATGGGTGGGTAGTTAAATATTAACGAAACAGTCAAATACTGAACAAGATTACTTTTTGGTCATTTTCCTATCTAAGGAATGTTTTTTATTTATCGGCTACACCCAAAACTCCGTGCCTCTTCCATGCCAACCCAATCCATTTTTTCACTGCAACAATACTCTTACACCAAAAAACATTCTAACACATATACTTTTATTTGTTGAAACCAAAAATTTTCTATTATAAATTCATATTAATCCTATGATATACTGGTAATATTCAAGTATTATTATAATATTAAAATTAGTTAATTTATAGTTTATTAACCTTGCTCAACTCAGAGTAACTGAACTATATAATCAATTTAGGTGTTGAATCTTCCTTCTCCTTCTTCTTTTTCTTTTAATATGGACTAGATATGAACCAAAACAATCGTAATATTTTTAAAAATATTTAAATTTATAAATGAATCAGTTTTAATTTTTTAAAAATTTAATATGACGCAATATTGTTTTGAATATTTCTTTAAAAATTATTAACCTAGTAATCAAATCGTTCAAATCAATCTATTAATGACTGTATTCAATTGACCAATGATAATTATGTCAACTTGACCCATCAAACTAAATTCAATGTTTCATTTTAGTTTTTACTTAAAACTAACGTAATTCAACCACCTACTATTCTCCTTCTTTGGACCACTTTAATTTTAAAATAAAGTGTATAACTTTTTTCCTTTTTATCAAAATTTATATAACAAATTACTTTTCTCTTTTTATATTTTTTAATTTAAAAAAATTATTTTAAAATACGATAAAGTCGCCCGGAAAGAGTATCCCTTCAAGTTAAAACATAAACCATAAACTTCTGTCTATAAAGATAATATTCATTTACTATGAATTGTTAAACGTGTGATCCACTACTCATAAGTTTCTAGTATTCTCTGCTTCATTGTATTTGAGGCATATCTGCATTATTTCTTATTTAAGGTTTACTATATTATTTAAAAACGTGTAGTAAGTAATGAAAAATGTGTTTTGTAAATTATTATTGGTTTTAGCTTGTAAGTATGAAATCTATTTTAGTATATTGATTTTTTTTTTTACACTAGAATATATACTTATTTCAATGGATTGATTTGAAAGTTTTATTAAAAGCAAATTATAATTTAAATTGAATTAGTTCTATTTCGATTTTATAAGTTTAGATCATAATTTAAGTGAGTTTAGGTCACACTAGTAAGTAGACTTATAAATTAATATGTATTATATAATAATAATAATTATTATTATTATTATTTTTTTTTAAATAAAAAATAATATTATTTTAGGATTTATATATATATATATATATATATATATATATATTATAAATGAATTTGATAAGTAATTCACCTATTTTAAAACTAAATTTTTAACAATCACTTATTCTAAAAGATCTAATAGTTAAAATTAATTACTATTTAAAATCAATAAATTACTAAAATAAAAATAATGATAACTGAAAAATAAATTTTTAATTTTTATTATGAGCTTAACTAAATTCATTCTCTTATAATATATCTTTAAAAATGATAATAAAAAATATGTTTTCAATTCTTATAAACATCAATTATTATGTATGTAGTTTTTAATAATGATTTTCTCAAAATAAGAGGAGGAGAATCAAGCTCAAAGTCAATAGAAAATTTATCTCTCATATCCAATATGTAAAAATCTATTGGAAAAACAAAATTGTTCATCTTCGTCAAGACATTCTCAAGTAGATCAGTTTGTTGAACTATGCTTTTGTTTGCCAATTGAATTACCACACCTGTAGATTGCATAGATCCAAACACAGACAATGATGATGAATACATGATTAAAGACAAAATATTAATTGAGGGTCCTAAATCTAACACTATATGCTTAAACCTCTTATTACTTATACTACATAAAATTGTAAATGCACTTAGATCTTTATATTTTTTAGGAATCATAACAATAGGTGCAGTAAACAATGTGCAAATGAATGACTATTTTTGTTGCATTAGAGGTTGTAATTTTGTTGCTTTGGTACTGCATTTTCTTTTAAGCACAAACACTTTCCTCCTTTTATTTTTCTTACGAGGCTTCATAATTAACAGGTCTAGCAAGCACATTTCCTATCTTAAGAGTCGTAACACTCACTTTTTTTTAATTCACACCAGTTTGGAAAAGCAAACCAATTGCATCATCAATTCCTTCTAAGATGGTTGACTTTTACTGCTGGAGGGTTGAACCTTTGGAGCTTGTTCAAACTGCTGCATATTTTTTAGATTTTGTTATTTATATGGTTGATGGACTAGTGGATTTGGTGGATGCATGTTTTATGGTGAAAAAGATGAAGGTTAGGATGAAGATGAGAGATTATAAAAGAACACACACAAACTGCACAATACAAACATAAAAAATACAAGCTACTGGAGCAAATCTATTGAGCGAAACAAATTTAGTGAGCATATTTGTTCGAGTGACCAACTAAATTCAAAAACATGATAAATATGCTGAGTGCATAAAAAATTGTTGAGTGGAATGTTTAACAGAAAAACAAAATTTAAACACTAGACAAAAAGTACTCATTGGACAACAAATCGCTGAGAAAAAACAAATAGATTCAAAAAATTGACCTTACTACCTGTTAGTGGCAAATCGAGAAAAGCGATCGAAATCGAAGGAAAGAAATGTGACTCGATAAGATAAACAAAAATTCATTCGATGTCTAATTAGAAATACGTAGCATATAGCATCGAGAAGCACAATCGAGAATCGAATGAATAATAATCAAATGACTGTTGTCGAATAAAAACTAAGTCATATAAGACCAGGGTTAAAAAGGAATCGTAAGCAATTCGAAGTTCTCGAAAAATACAGAATCGAGAGTAAAGAAAGCCAATGTGGACATCGAGACTTTGGCCAAATCGTGAAAGGAAGTAAGTCGAATGCACGTATAAAGAGCAGTTTTGAAATCATGGGAAAAAGTCGGAGATCGTGAGAACGTGGGAAACTATAGAAGATAAACTGCCATACGCACGTAGAACGTGGTAGCAGTCGTGTTAACTGCTCTTGGAAGGCTTGAAGGATGCCCTATAAATAGAGCAAAGGAGGAAGGAACAGGGGGGCAGAAATTGGCAGAGAACAGAATCAGTAGTGAAAAGTCTACCGGAGAAACGACGAACACCATGAAGCTTCTGGCAATCTGGATTTCCTTGCTCACTGAGTACATTTACCGCTTTCTGTATTTTCCTTGGTAATTTATTTTGATGCAACTTAAATTCAGCAGTTTTATGTTTCTGTATTTTCGATTCCTCGTCCATTTCAATTCAATGAAAATTTAAGTTTATGCATTTAAGTTTCCATGTTATTTAATGTTCTGCAAATCTCGATTTCCTGTCACTTACTTTTCTTGCAATCTCGATTTCTTGTCATTTATATTTGCACTATTTTCGATTCCTCGTCATTTACAATTGATGCAAATTTGGATTTTCGCTCTTTACATTTTCTTGCAATTTAACATTGTTTCTTGATTCGATACTTTTACTGCTTTCGATACTTTAAAATACAAAATACCAAAAACAGCATTTTCGATATCCTGTAATTTTCGATTCTCATACACGTTTTCGATTGAAAATCAAATTGCTAGCCTAAGTAAAAAGAGCTTACGTGGGAGGATTTCGATTAAAGACCAAAATACCCTTAGAATCGAAATCGATCGAAATTCCACCAGAAACAAATTGGCGCGCCAGGTAGGGGAGTCTTGTGTTGAGAAACACAAAATTGGTTAGTTCGAAATTGTATGAGATTAAGGAGTGGGAGAGTCATGAGTTAGAGTTCATCAAATAACCAAGGTAACAGTGAGGGATTAAATGGGTCACACCCACCAAATACTGGGGGGCAAAACCATAATGGGAACACGCCTGTAGTATCGACAACTGTAAGTATGTCGATACCCGTGAGTAATGAACAAAATTCAGGCACTTTAGCGAATACTCAAATAGGATCTAGTGTGGTTGCACCAAATAATACGCAAACTATAGGAAATCCCACCACTACATATGTAGGGCCACGTATGAGCGTAAGACCGCCCGGGTTTTCACTTAATAATGTAAGTGGGGTTGGAACTTCTTCAGCGCATAGGAATTCGAGATATAACTTAGGAATGTCCCAAACACTAGGTATGCCGCAAAATTTTGGAATTCCTCCGAATTTAGGGACATCTCAAAACTTAGTAATTCCCCAGACAGGGAGTGGACAGAATGTAGGCACACAACGGATATCTCCAAATCTAGATCATAGGGGAAACTTAGAGCATGTGAGACATGTATTCGACGGAGACTATCATCGATCTAATTTTGATTCTATTGAAAACATGGAGTACCGAATATCTAGTAATTCATTAGGGGTACTTAGACAACAAATGGATGAGAGTAATTTTGAAATGGTGAATATGTTATCACAACAGCTTAACCACAGTCTTAAATCCATTAGTGCAAAACACTAATGCTAGTTTTGAGATATTAGCGGACCAAATGTCACGAATCGGGGATGCATTGGCTATACCTCGACAAACGAGGGTAGAAAATCATGCTACTAATAATCCCCCGTATCTATTGAGGAGAAATAGAAACAATGATCAACATCAGCATATGGGAAATGGGTACCAACACGTGAGGAATGACATTTATGGGAATTTGAACGAAGGATTTCAAAATATACACAATCAAAATAATATGTTGGGACAAAGGATGAATTTACAAGGGATGGAATTTAGACCACCCAATCAGACATATTTTGTGTCTCCCTTTCCGAATGCGATTCTTGAGACAGAATTGCCTCGAGGATATAAAGTACCCAAATTCACTAAATTTGCTGGAGAAGTTGGTGAATCGACCATCGAGCATGTAGTTCGATATCAGATCGAATGTGGGGATTTAGCGATGAGTGAAGAATTAAAGATGAAATATTTTCCTAGTTCTTTAACTAAGAATGCTTTTACTTGGTTCACTTTGTTGCCACCCAATTCGATATATAATTGGTTGCAGTTAGAGAGAAATTTTCATGAACAATTTTTTAGAGGAGAGACTCAAGTAAGTCTCATCGATTTGATGAACATAAAACGATACAACCATGAGAGTATAGATGATTATCTA